TGCCTGAGATTCCAGGTTCAAGTCCTGGTGCAGGAAATTTTTTTTCTATTTTTTATTTATTTATTTTTTATAATTTTTTTTATTAGGAATTTTTATTGTAATTTTGAAATTTATAAAAAAAAAAGGTATTTCTTGTTTTTTTATGGCACAAGCAGTTCTTCTGATATGTATGTTTTTTCTGATATGCAATTAGATTTTCAAATTTTTTATTTACATTTAAATTGAAATAATTATTTTTACTTACATGGATTTAACTTTAAAGTCTTAACCACCTCCAAGCGGCCTCGAACCTGCGATCTCAGAACCAGGACTAGTAGTCTTCACGTGACGCCACATCCCACATTTGTAAGAAAAGTAATTAGTTGAGTTTTATTTTTGGCTTTGACATTTCAAAGGCAGATGTCGCTGAACGCTTAAGTTCTCCGAAATTGTCGAACTGGTAAGCACATACTAGTTAATGAACTAGTATTTTTTCTAACTGGTTTGGCTTTTCACTGCAGGGTTACAGTGAGCATGTGCCGATATCGCAGCAAGCAGCATTTTGAAGTAAAAAAATACAGTTGTCAAACGAAATACACGATGTAAAGTGTTTGGCTGACTTCCAATACAATGTTTGGATACTATTCTACTGCGGTATTTAAACTGTTCGTGTTTGCAGAGTTGCGAAACATTGCAACATATACATTGCATATTTTGAATATTTAGTAAAACAATGATCACCATTTCGGTATTTTCCATTTTTAAAACCCAAATGGTAACTAAAACCAACGAAGCATCAACTTTGTTTTTGATGCGCTGATTACTCTAGCGATTCGTTTCGATAACTTTTCGGATGCGTTTCGGAAAAGTATACATTGTCAAACAATTGTAGTTTGGCGCAGCGCTGCTTGTACATAAATATCGCTTTACGCGCAGCGCTCAGCCTTTAAGACTATGTTCAAACAGGCACCTTATTAGCAATTAAGAACCTTTTCACCAATTTAGGCCTTAATTGTTACACAATTTATCATACGAAAATTCAAATTATTAATTGCCAATTAATAATTAATTGGCAATCAATTTGTGTCAGATTCTCTATGCGACCCTGCTAGGTATGTTTAATTTTGACTTGGAGGTATGTTTATTGACCGAAAAGCAATTAGCTGTTTGTTTCTGGCCCTCTTTTATAGCTGATATTCCATCAGGGATGGAAAATTGAATTATACAATTGTACCTAATTTACAGAAACTTTACCTAAAAGTAGATAGATGTACCTAAAAAGTAAATATGTATTTATATATAAAGAAAAATAGGAGGTAACAATTCCCATCGATGCCATATCAACTTCTGTACTCACATTAAACAAATTTCTGGCTATGAAAAGAGTCTCTTGGAGCAGCGCGAGACAAAACTATGTTGTAGAAAAGGTGAATCACTTTCCTCCTAGTTGTTCGATCTGACGTTTTAAAAAGAAATATTTTGCATTTATCTGGCGAAACCAACTACAGTTGCGTTACTTTGACCACCCTTCTGTATTATTTGTATGCCTCTTCACAAAGGAGGGAAGCTATTAGACCAGTTGCCCGCACCAGAAAATGACTTGAAATGTCAATAAAAATAAGAACTGATTTCCTGAGAAGCTATTTGGCTACGTTCCAAATGTACCTAAAATTGTGTGTTTGTACCGAATGTACTTTCAAACTAAATAAAGGTACGATTGTAACGACTTTTCCATCACTGTAGGTAATCCAACAGCTGTTTTCGTATCGCTAATTGGGCAGCTGACATGTGTGTGTGAAGACCAAACTCAATACCGCAATTTAAAGCTTAATTGACTCAGCTAATTGGCCTGTTTGAACATAGTCTAACGCACTTGCTAAATTATTAAGTTCGCGAAAACAATGTATCGAATTCTATGAAGCCCAGCAAGTAGACATATGTACGTACATACATATCAGGGATGTTGCGAATATTCGCATTCGCATTCGCAACCGCGGAACTTCCGCATAAATTTTAACATTCGCATTCGCTTTCGCATTAGCAATAATCAATGCGGAGCTTTTGCGAATGCGAATATTGTGCAAGAGCACCGATAACACGTATATCTGGCAAACAAAAAATTTTAGCCAACATTTTTTTGCCTGTGGAGATGCTACGTTAAGACTGTCCCCTACGTCGACCTTCTATCGTAAGTTAAAGTCAAAGAGTAAGATAATAGTAGGTATATATATTTAAAAGATTACCTTTAATTAGGTTAGAATTATGTAACTATCGAATATTATTTGTCAAAGGTCTGTTGAAAAAACTGGATGCTTCGCTGGTTTTTTTCTACTTTTTCTTAGAAAGGTATAATTATTTTTTCTCATAAAACTTATTATTCTTAAGTTCCGTGTTTCTTTTTATTAGTCTTTTAGCGCGAAAACAAAAACATTTATTTTAATTTTGTGTAAATTGCCAAAATTAGCACGCATCGGAATAAAGATGAAATGATATGTAAATAAGTCGACAGCCAAGTTCACATATTAAATAAGAATTAATTCAAGGTGAATTTTATATCTATTGAGGAGGGGACTTGGCATGTAATATATCGTTATTATAGTATGGAAAGGGCTTATTTCACATTGTCGCTGAAATGCAAAAAACCACGACTAAC